TTCCCCATCTGTAAAAGAGAATTATCATGAGGTTTAAATGAAAAGATAAATATAAAGTTTCTGGAACAAAGAAGGCCATTTTTAATTCTCAATTTCTTTCCTGGGTTATAGCCACTTAACTTTCTGTCTTTCTAAGTCTCTTTTAAGTTTGTTTATTCCAAATCTTCTAACACTCTCTGTTCTCCATAGGGACAGCCTCTTGCAGCTGTCTGCTTTTCCCAAATAATATTTTATTAGTTTTCATAATTTTCCCTACTTCAATTCTTTTCATTCTGACTCCACTTAGTCACTGAAAATTAGACTCATTTCATAATTTGTGTGCTACTTTTTTGGCAATAACATGTACATTTCTAACTAAAGATTCCAATGCTTCACAAATTACATCCTTTTCTTATTTCAACCAGGGACAAAGTTTTCCTAATCCTATTATCCCTTTGAACTGAACTCAACCTCCTTAAATATGAATTGTTTCTTGGGTTAAGATCAATAAGGAAGTGAAAACAGTCTCAGAACATGGTCCTCTAATACTGCGGTCAGCATCACTAGGTATGATGATTCTCTTTCAAGTTGCATAAAGGAGAGAATTCCACCTCACCCAGATTGGCAGCAAAATTATTAAAGAAAAATTCCCTTTAAAATTTGGCTTTCTTGGTTTTTATGAATGCCCATTTAACTATTTTTTAACTTTTAAGCCATTAAGTATTGTCTTGTTCAGTGGGCAATTGTCCTCGTGGCACAGAATTCCAACTTTGGAAAAAATGTGTGCCCTGAAAGTCCTTTGGGGAATCCCCTTCCCCACATTCAGCTCCTGTGGTTTAGGAGGGATCAATTCCACACCCAGCAACTGGGGTAGGTCCAGATCAGCCTCAGCCAATGGCCACGTCACATTTCCTGGTTATGGTACTTGGTTCAGGGATGGGCACGTGATTCAATCAAAGTTGGTGGAAGACAATGAGACTTACTGAGACAAAGGGAGGCAGTCCTCCCCACTAGATTGAACTTGAGGCACACCACCTATGGTGGCCAGAGACACACAATGAGTTAGAAAACAAAGACGGTGAGGAGCAGAGCTAAGAGCGAACAGCAACAGTCCTGAGTCTGAAAACTAGGATTGCCTCTGGATTTAGCCATGAGCCAATAAATCCCTTCCTCCTTTGCAGATCTGAGTTGAATTTTTGTCATTTACAAATGAAAGATTGCAACTGATACACATCATATTTGATCACACTGCAATGTTTTACAGAGGTTCTCAACCTGTGGGTCGCGACCCCTTTGGTGGTCGAACGACCCTCTCACAGGGGTCGCCTAAGACCATCCTGCATATCAGATATTTACATTACGATTCATAACAGTAGCAACATTACAGTTATGAAGTAGCAACAAAAGCAATTTTATGGTTGGGTCACAACATGAGGAACTGTATTTAAAGGGCCAGAAGGTTGAGAACCACTGGAATATTAGCTTTTTACAACAACTTTACCAGGTCAAGCAGAGCAAGAACATTCACCATTTAAAGTAAAAGGAACTGACCTCCAGAGAGATTATACAGCATGACCAGGGTTACATAATTAGGAAGTTACACACCTCCAGCTAAAACCTGGGTCTTCTGAGTCCCTGCCCTGTTATCATTTTTACTTTTCTACAAACATTATAGAAACTTCCAATGTGCTGTTTCTAGTTGTCTCATATTGTTTGTTCTTCACCCAAATGCTCACCTGTTGGTAATTAAGAGAATTACAGACATTGTTAGGCACTGTGGGGAACAATAGGGAAATGATCACTGTCTGTAAGCTTGGCCTTGAAAATGCAAAGTTATTGAGTGGCTGCACATATTGTGCCAAACACCAATTCTAGCATTAAAGATCAAAACGTTATCTTCTACCCTCTTTCCTCTGGCTTTGGAGTGAGCAGCAGACTCCAGGTATAAAGACAAGCCTATAAAACCAGGAAATCAGAGAGCCTTGGTGGGGCCTTCTCTAAAGAGACAGTGAGCCCTAGCTGCTTTTGCTCAGTGGATAGAGCGTCGACCTGAGGACGGAAGGGTCCCAGGTTTGATTCCAGTCGAGGCAGCCAATCAATGAATCTCTCTCATCGTTGATGTTTCTATCGCTCCCTTCCTCTAAGAAATCAATAAAAATATTTTTTTTAAAATAAAGAGATAGTAATACACTAGCTCTCTAATCAAAAAGGAATTATTTAATCCTAAATATCTTGGCCTTTGAATTTCCCAGTGTCTTTCATTTTATCTTCGACAACAGCTTATATATTCTTTTCCTGCATGTTTCTACACCTTCTGGCTGAAAGATAAGCAGATACCAGAGCAAGTGCCTTCTAACCAATCTCAATTTTTCTGAGCCACAATTATAGAAGCAATTCTAAGATAACATCATCTTAATACCTGACTTGGAATTTTGTCTATAAAACAAAAACAAATAATAATCAACCAAAAGAGATAGAAAGCAACCTTCCTTGAGACCAGGGTAAAAACAAAATCTAGTTTCTGTTTTCTCAACTTCCTAACTTCCCAACATATCACAGTTAATTAAATTGTGTTTATTCCTACTGAGAGAAATATGAATTTTCCTATGCTTTTGTATAAATGGACAAACATTCAAATAATCATATTCAGTGTAGTCATCTCTCTCAAACCTTCATTTGTAAAGTTATTTTTGTTAAGGAATCCATGTTACATAAAATGAAACTTTGTTGAATCATAAAGTTGTTCTCTCAAAGCCAAAGTTTTTAAAATTATATCATAATAAATCATGAATAACTAGAATGTTTTCTTTGTGAATATAAAAACAGGAACACAATAAAGATATTAGAAAATCTTTAGTCTTCATTTCACATTTACTTTCCAAAACTATGCACAATCCTGAATATGCATACCTGTTTAGTTGGGTTTTTTTAATCCCCTGTGACAATCATAAAATGGAAAACAATAAGATCACTTTAGTAGCAATTTGGAAGCGATTCCTATTCAGATACTTATTGCAGCTGTGTTTCTCAAGTCTTAGTTAAAATACTTCTCTGAAAACTACACTGTGATTTGCCGTTCGTTCTAATTGATGCATATTTTTATATCTCTGTACAGTTGCTTTCTGTCAACACTTTACTACGTAGAGAAAATAGACACGAAAACAGCAAGGAGAAACTTAAGCAGATATCAGCAGGGGAGCTGTGTAAAGAAATGTTCCAGTACCAGGAAAATGCATTATTATTGTCAGCACTTAAGAATGACTGCTAAGTTTGTAAACTGTATCGTTTTGAGAGATGGCAATTTAAGGAAATTATTTTTTATAAAGACATCCAAGAATGAAATGTTCAATTGGGAGTCTGTTCTTATGGTTTAACCAATAGGAAAAAAAAAGATCCTAAAATAATGAATATTTTAATGCCATATAACTGATAGTCTAAATACAAATTCTGGTAACAAGTCAAGCAGCATAAATTGTCTCTGTAAGAAGCTTTAAAATGTCTTAATTAGTTCCAAAAGCACTTGTAAATCTATAATTATCTATAATAATAAAAGCGTAATATGCTAATTAGACCAGATGTCCTTCCGGACGACCTTGCAGACGAAGCCGGGGCTGCAAGGGAAACCTGGGTCCTGGGTGCCTGCGGGTGGCCAGAGGGAAGCCCAGGTCCCAGGTGCTGGAGGGAAGCCAGTGCCAGCAGCTGGGGGAAGGAAGGCCTACTCTTGCACCAATTTCGAGAATCGGGCCTCCAGTTTATTATAAACAACTATCTTAACAGGGTGGGACAGGATACTAGAGTTTAAATCCCAGATCTACTTCCAAATAGATGTTTCTTTGATGAATAGAGAAATCGACTTTGAAGTCAAAACCAAGTTCAAATTCCAGTTCCACACTGACTAGCCATGTGACCCTGAGCAAGTTACTCGGTATTCCTCATCCCTGATTCCAGCAACTATAAAATGGAAAAATAATCTACACAGGCTGTAAGATTAAACTACACACATACATGTGTCGTGTGACCATGTGTAAAATGAATAGTATAGTGTTTGATGTTATCTTTCAGCCTTTTCCTTCTTATCTGTAACACTGATGCCTCTTTCTGCATCTTTAAAATAATAAATCTATCTTGAAAGTCCCTTTAAGTTCTCTAAGTATGAATCTGGAGAACATATAATATCCCTTCTCTCAAGTAGTGAGTGTTACACATGTACCATTTCACAGTATTTATAAATACAAGTATAAATGTTTTTTAAAATATCTTTCACCAGTAACATTTTATAACACATTCAAAATCTCTTTAACAACCCTGAGGCCAGCTGTTTTTTGTACATAATACATTTTTTATTTTTTATTTTAGAAAGGTAACAATGTGCATATATCATATAGGGGCCTAGTGCACGAATTCATGCACCTTGAAAGGAACTCTGGGCTGCGAGGCTATGGTGGACACAGGGGTGAGTCTCAGCCCATCCTCTGTGCCCCCACCCACCCCTCCCACCACAGCCCCCAGTCCCCTTCTGCCGGCAGCCCCTCTTCTGCCGCCACTACTCCCACACGCTGACAGCACTGGCTCCACTTGCACCCGCTGATGGTGCGGAGTGATTAGGGCCAGTGATAGCAGCTGATGTGAGCTGCGACTACTGCTCTGATTACCTCTCAGGAGCAGGGGGAGGTGGAGAAGCCCTCAGGGGTGATCGGGGCTGGCAGCCGCTGCTTGCACCCGCTGATGGCGCCGAACTATGGGGACCAGCGCCCAGCACCAGCAGTGAGTGCAAGTGGGGCCATTGCCAACAGCAGGTGTGAGAGGCAGCTGCTGGCCCTGATTGCCCCTCAGGGGCAGGGGTAGATGGGGAAGCCCTGGGGGGTGATCAGGGCCGGCAGCTGCAACTCACACCTGCTGACAGCGCCGAGCAATTAGGACCGGCACCCGGCACCGGCAGTGGGTGCAAGCACGGCTCTGGCGCTGGAGTGGGTGCGAGTGGGGCCGTCGCCCACAACGGGTGCAAGTGGGACCAGTGCCAGAAGCAGGTGCGAGTGCCTGGCGGGCCTGTGGCATGCGGGAGCAAAGAATTTTCAGTAACCACCAGAGGCCCTCCCCAATTACACCAACTGGCACCCTGCCTTGGTCTGGCACCCCTGCTCACCTTCTCCACCATCCCACCTCGGCCAATGCCTGCCATGTTCCGTGCATACCCCCTAGTGGCCAGCGCACATCATAGCGACTGGTTGGCCGATGCCTGCCATGTTCCGTGCGTACCCCCTAGTGGCCAGCGCACATCATAGCGACTGGTTGTTCAGTTGTTTGGTTGTTCCGCCATTCAGTCTATTTGCATATTAGGGTTTTATATAGAGAGATATTACATAACACTCCCTGCAGGATCAAGGACAATGTCCTATAACCAAACTTACTGATATCTATGTACCAAATGCTAATCACAGTAACTGGAATAAATACTAAACAGTTTAATGCAGTGTGATAGGCACAACTCTCAAGATATCCCCAAGATTCCCATTCTCCAGTTAGTCCATCAGATTCTAATCTAGGTACTGCATGAAGAGACTTTGCAGATAGAAATAAGGTTACTAATCAGTTGATTTTAAAATAGGGAGATTATCATAGATCATGTGGGTAGATCCAATGTAATCACATGGGTCCTTAAAAGCAGAAGAGGAAGGCGGAAGATTCCATGGGAGAGAGACAGTGGACGAGGAAGGCAGAGAAAAGATGAGGGAGCAGGGAGGAATCAGAGAGATTCAAAGCCTGAGAGGGACTTGACTGGCCACTGCTACTTTTCAAGGAGACAGGGGTTCACTGGCCAAGAAATATGGGTGGCCTCCAGAATAACCCATGCCCCACAGCCAGCAGGAAGTGAGGACCTCAGTCCTACAATCTCAAGGAACTGAATTTTGCCAACAACCTAAAAGTGCTTGGAAGTAGAGTCTTCTCCAAAAGAGCCTCCAGGAAGGAGCTCAGCCTGTTGACACCTTGACTGAGGCCTGTGAGACTCTAAGCGGGGACCCAGCTGAGCTGGACTTCTGACACCTGGAAGCTTGAGACAATCAAGGGGTGTTGTTTTAAAAGCCGTGAAATTTAGGGTGATTTGTTATGGCAGGGTAATTTGTTATGATTGCTCAAAACTAATATGTATATGTTCAAGTGAAGTTTTTAATAACAAACGAGTTGCTGGAAATTTACAAAACCTGTGTTTTCAGAGCATTGGGGAGTTTCAGAATTGCCCAGAAGGGATTCAGAACTGTTTATTTCTGTTATTTAAGTTTGTTCAGTGAGCGTACCAAGTGAATAAACACTAATAAGGCTTTGAAACGTTCACTAACCACCTTGTTATATATGCTCTTAAAAAAACCCTCTAATAGTAATCTCAGTGTCTAACTCCCTTTTAGTTCTAAAGGTTTCAAAGTTAGCCAGTGCCTCTAAGAGAGCTGACCTCCCAGCAACTATTTAAAGGAAAGTGCCTCTTGTAGCTAATAATAGCCAAACACTTGCTGAACACTTCGATATCCAGGCACTGATCTGGGTGCTTCATGTACATAAACCCATTGAACCTGCCAACCACCTTATGAGAAAAGTACTGCTACCTTCCCTATTTTACAGGTGGAGAAACTGACTTACCCAGGGTCACACAGCTAGCAACTGGCATAGTTTCTAAACCTAGGCAGTCTAGCTATAAAGTCTATGTTGCTAACCACTCCAGCTGGGTGCCTATCTGTTGGTACCCGTACCATTTAATCAAACACCTACAACTGGCACAACAAATACAAAATACCTGCTACCTTGGGATGTATAGGCTAAATGTTTTTCTCTCTACAAATTTCTGCATTGATCCTCAAATGCCAATACTATTTCCTTTGGGAAGCATAGTACATGAGCCAGCCAACCAGCAAAATCTGCTATCCAACCCTGGCCAGTTTTGCTCAGTTGTTAGAGCATCAGCCCTCAGACCGAAAGGTCAAGGGTTCAATTCTGGGTCAAGGACATGTACCTTGGTTGCAGGCTCCCCAGCCCCAGTGGGAGCACATGCAGGAGGCAACCATTCAATGTGTCTCTCTCATGTCGACGTTTCTCTTCCCCCCCCCCTCTTTCCGCCACCCCCCCGCCCACTTCCCTCCCCTCCACTCTCTAAAAATTATGGGAAAAATATCCTTTGGTGATGATTATAAAATAAAATCTGCTATCCATGGTTTCCTGTTGTGCAGCCTTTTCTCTCCTATTATATTGGAAAGTCATGATAACTATTGATTCTAAAATCCCAAATAACCTGGTGTCATGGACATACCCCTATTATTGCAAAATAAACTCACAGTGACTGACTGAGAGGCTCACTCACAATTTTCCAGCTCTCGAATACACCTCAGGTCAGAGCAAACCACACAGGGCCCAGTGGGAAGACTTCTTCAACCTAATTTGTAATAGCCAGGCATGTTTAGAAAAAGTAAACAACAAAACTAGTCATATTTATCTATAGGATTGATCCAGAAGACATTATCTTTATTATAAGTGAGAACAGTTACTAATTACTGAAAGTTAAACAAAACAAGTCCCTATGTAAGAGGATGGGTGGCATATACTGGTAGGTACAGGGTTAGGCACTGAGTATATCATGATCATAAGAAGATATTGGCAGGAGGTGAATGTCAGAGGGAAAAAAACACTAGATCAGTCGTTCTCAAACTTGAACAGAGATCAGAATCACCCAGAGGGCTTGTTAAAACACACTTTCCTGGCTCCACCCCATCGGAAGTTCTGATTCCATAGGTCTGGGTGAGAATCTTGAATGTTTGTTTCTAAGTTCCCAGATGAGATCAAGGCTGTTGGTCCAGGAACCACACTGGAAACCACACACTAACCCAGCTATTGGTAGTTTATAAAACTTCCCAGTTTATTGTAATATGCAGTCAGAGTTGAGATCGCTGGGTTAGGAGCACTGTTAATGAGGAAGAGATTAATGTAGAAACCAACATTATATGACTAACCTATCACAACAGGTAAGATGCCCTTGGGAGGGTGGGTTTGCAGACTAGTTTATGGACATCAATGGAGAGCCCTTCTGGACACTGCCCAGTAGCAATCAATGGTGCACATGGGGAAAGCCCTAAGCCTCTCCATCCAGGCACTGTGATTCCCACGATCACTCTTGCACAGGGAGGAATAATTCCACATCTGTTATTTCTCTAAATTCCTCTGGAATTCATATCCATAGCCATGTGTTACTAGTTAACTAAGTGGCCTTTTAAAAACCACTGCCAGAGGTCTGTTTCCAAGCCACTTCACCACTTCGGCTTTGAAGAATATCTATTCACATAAAATTTTAATTAGGGAGTTCGTGCAATTGTGCACTTTAAATGCAAGGTGCATAGCAAAGTGAGAAGTGGGATTTTCTGTGACCTCTATTAAGCTTTGTTGTTGGTTACAATATGAGCCACAAGCTTTATAAGATGAATCAAGGTGGGAACAAAATGGAAAAAAAATTTTTAAAGATATGAATTAGATATGCACCAAATCAGATCCAGAGAGACAGAAAGTAATGGGGGGGGGGGAGGGGATTACTCAAGTGACAACAGGATACCTGATCTACACAGACAAAGTTTGGCTGAAGAATGACAATCAACCATTTTCACTATGGAATTGACTTCAATGAATACACAACTATTCAAATAATTTTTAAAAGATTTTTAGTATGTTGTTTACTTCAGAAAACATAGAAACATTCATTATTAAAACTGTCTGATTTTGTTCTTTTTCTAAATGCTTGATTGTTCTGAATTTCTCAGTGAGGTCTGGTATAAATCTGGGTTCACAGGCTCCAAGCATCCTTCGGTAGAGCGAGTTCTGTGCATATCATGCATTTGGTGCAGTGAAATGTGAGAGACATCACAGTGCTCAAAAGCCTTCCCTGACTTCCTAGCTGGCCTGCAATAACTACCTTTTAGAGTCAGTCCATTGTGTCACCCCAAAGAGGCAGGAATACCTCTAAAAAAATGACATATATGGACTAAGAAGGGGACTAGACCAGGCCAATACATCATCATGGAATAGTTTTATTAGAGAACAGGTGATTAACAGGACCAAGGGAGCTGTAAACATTCTATTTACACACTGTGAATAGAGCATTAAGTAAATGAGACTCTTCCAGACCTAACCTCCAATCCCAGTTGAATTCACACCACCTTTTACCCACTGTGATTCCCACTTTTCTTGCAAATTCAAGAGTCCCAGTGCAAAGCAAGCAAGAGGTAACTAGTAGGCAAATGGTTCTAAATGAGAGAAGACAAGACTGGTCCCATTTGAAGTGATTTGGGGTTTTCCTTGTCTGACCTTGCTCCTACCCCCCTCCGTGCCCTTCCCCCTGCCATCACTACACCACCTCCCATTCTGCATGGGCGACCCCATCTGCTGACAGCTTCATGTTTAAGTCCCTAGCAGTCCTCCCCACCCACCACTGTGAAATAGGGGGAAAACGAGGATCATAACGGAAAGAAATTATTTTCGTTGTTATTGGAGTAAGAAGATAAGAGGGAGAGGATCTGTAAAATACAGTCAAAATTTAGGAACAGAATCATCTCAGATCTGAAAACTATACCACAGAATCCATTCCAAAAAACAGGTTATAAAATAGATTCTTTCTTCCTAATTATGTTTCACATCCTAACACAACCAACCACAGTCCATGTGGAACATTTGGTTCTTTGTGGAGTGTGTGTGTGTGTGTGTGTGTCCACATGTATGGTTTGTTTTTCTCAAGTCACCTGTTGTAAAAGAATCAAGGAGTGCCCTGGTCAGTTTTCTCAGTGGTTAGAGCATCAGCCTGCAGAGCAGAGGGTCATGAGTTCGATTCCCAGTCAAGAGCATGTACCTCGGTTGTGGGTTTGATCCCTGTCTCTCTCACATCGATATTTTTCTCCCCACTCCTCCCTTCCACATGTGTGGTTTGTTTTTCTCAAGTCACCTGTTGTAAAAGAATCAAGGAGTGCCCTGGTCAGTTTGCTCAGTGATTAGAGCATCAGCCTGCAGAGCAGAGGGTCATGAGTTCGATTCCCAGTCAAGAGCATGTACCTCGGTTGTGGGTTTGATCCCTGTCTCTCTCACATCGATATTTTTCTCCCCACTCCTCCCTTTCTTCACTTTGTCTGAAAATTAATTTAAAAATATCTTCCAGTGAAGATAAAGAAGAATCAAGAAGTAATGAATGAAATTTTTTCAATATTTATGCATTCTTTTGGGCAGTTTAATTACCCGCGTCTTAACGAAAATGAGAACGATTGCAGGATAAGACTTGGCTTACATTGCTCAAATAATATAATTAACTGTCTTTATTGAGCCTTTTTCATTCTAAGAAATGCTTCACAATAAAATATAATACCAGATGCTGACCTCTGGAAAGGTCCAATGTGGCCTCAGGACTAGTGTGACCAGGCCAGGCCATATGTTTGGTTTTATTAATATATCTGTCCTGAAGAGTGAAATTTTATGACTGTGTAACCCCATGAAGGGACTGAAAATTGTTTTCTACCCTCATAATCTTGACAAAATAGGAACTGGCTGTGCTTTTCATTTTTAACCATTCCATATTGTTTATCTGCCTCCTGTAGAAGTTACAACCCAAAGGTTGAACTCTTGCGTAATTTGGTTAAAATCTTGTTTACTGAACATTCAAAAGGAATATTATGTAACGACACTTTCCTTTGCATTCCAATCTAAAAATGCATATTATTGGATCTATTCTGCAAATGGACTCCAGCTATATAAACTTATTTAGTTTCTCTCCAGTTTAAAACATAACAAACAAATAAACAAAAAAAACTCTACCTGTTCCACAGCCCTAAAATTGCTTCATGAGAAAAAAAATCTTTAAAGAGCATATTCAACTTTTCATCTTCCTGTTCCTTAACCAACACAACCACAAGATAATATATAACCTGAAACCATGAAATAAAAACATTCTCAAAAAAAAAGAAAAAAATAAACTTTGTATTAAATCATCTGGGCTCTCAGAGCATAAAGAAATTAGCTACCTGCCACCTGTGTTTAATATAGATGCCCAAAAGCAACTGTATATTTCTCATTCCTTTTATGCTATTATTTTATCCTTTGTACCTCTTGTCATTTTAAATTCTCATTGCAATAAGAAGAAAAATGCCCAAGGAGGTTTTTGCCAGTATCTCAAAAGAAATTCTGTTGCACCCCTAGTTTTCTGTTTCATGCTCTGATACATATGGTCATATGTATTTCTCCTTCAGGAACAGAACAGAACATTTTAGGGCTCAGATTTCTCCAAAGGAAGTAAGGTGATTTGGGCAAAATGAACATGAATACTGAAAGTCAAGGTGTTACAAATGTCAGAAACCATGGTGGGGGCTAGCCACAGAACAATGATTTAAAGGAGGGATGGGAAAGAATCATTGAAATAGAAGCCTCGAAACCTGACTTTTAAGTTTACACCTAAAGATATATGCTCAGCTTTTAGAGGCTAGTCCTAAACATTTATCATTTTCTTCTTTTTTGTTGCTTCACTCTTCTCTGACTGTTGCTTCACTCCATCTTCATCCAGTCATCTCCTCGGTCACCTGGCTAATTCTAGCCCCTGGTTTTCAATTCAATATGACTGCCTGGCAATTTTCCACCTACTCTGTGCTAAGGCTACAGCAGGGAAAGAAAGAAAATCTCTGCCCTCAAGGAGCTGACATTCTAGTGGGAGGAAAAAAACAATAAACAAAGTGAATAATTAAAATACAGGCTATTAGTGGATGATATGAAGATGCTAGCAGTCAAATTTTTTGCCCTGCAAAAATGACAACATCATTCTGTTGCCAGAAAAGGGACCCGGCCCTGAGTGGGTCTGCCTAGGGCCGGCCTGTAGTGTGTAGGAAAGATGTCACAACACGAGTCCAGGTGATTTTGAGAGTATGTTCATTAAAGCTGGGGACAGTGGGACAAGGAAAGGCCTAGGATAGAAGAAACTGCAGGAGACAGCCAAGGCAGGGATGCTTCGGCTCACTGAAAATGTGATAGGAAAGAAATGAGCCTAGCAGGGCTGCTTCAGCTCACTGAGACATCAGAGAAAAGGGGGCCTTGAGGGCAGGTTCAGGGGGTGAGTGCAGGATGAGCTGCCAGAAAAAACAATAAACAAAGTGAATAATTAAAATACAGGGCAGGTTCAGGGGGTGAGTGCAGGATGAGCTGCCACTGCTCATTGCTCCCTTGGTTGCAAGTCTCCTGGGAACCCTTGGCGTTTAGGATACTGCCTGTGGGGGAAGAAGAGAGGGGAAGGAAAGGCACAGGTGCGCTCAAGCCCAGGGGGAGGAGCTCATGCTGGGTCCTTTGTTTTGAGGGTTTTTATCTCTCTCTTGCAGGCCACATTCTTTCTTTTTTTTTCATACTATCTTGTTTATTTGGCTGATTACACATTCAAGACTTGTTCAAGAGCATCATTAATCACAGGATATTAGGAACCAAAGACAATGACATTACTGACAAAATACAAATATGTGCCAAAAAAATTCAAGGTGGACATTTTCCTCTTTTTTTCTTATTTATTTCTTTGTTTGTTTGTTTGTTTATGTTAATCCTCTTAGCAGAGGTCTTAGGGGAGGGTTTCAGCAGAATATTCATCAGTTTCCTGCCCTGGTGTTGATCACTGGGTTTTGCTGCTTTTCTGGGAGGTGACCTTCTGTATCCGGCTGTAAATTGCTCAGCAGGTTTGTTCCGCTCTCTGTCTCAGTTTCCCCATTCTACTTGCCAAGGAATTTTCCTAGCTTCATACCATCCTGCCTCAATATGAGTCAAACTACATATTAAATGGTGATGAATAATATTTTTTAAATGAAGCAGGGCAGAACAGGTAGTAGGATTAATGGGGGAGCAAGGGCAAAGAGGATTGCGACTTAAAATAGGGCAACCTGTCTCCAGGTGGTGTAATTATGCCAAGTATTTACATCAAGCAGGAATATAAGATACAGATCATATTAATACAGTCTTACTCACATGCTATAAAATTAGGTTAAAAAATACATGTGGTGTAAAACATTTAATTATATATGTCTAACTCTAGACCATTAATTTTTTAAAATATATTTTTACTGATTTCAGAGAGGAAGGGAGAGAGGATAGAAACATCAATGATGAGAGAGAATCATTGACCAGCTGCCTCCTGCATGCCCCCTACTGGGGATCGAGCCTGCAACCCAGGCATGTGCCCTTGACTGGAATCAAA